CATACATACATACATACATCTGGCGCCAAAGAGTCGGCCAAGAAGGACGCTGGTTCAATCTTTCCTGGACCAGAGATCTGGCAGAAACGGACAAGTGGCGCAAAACCTGGCTTGGGCATCCAATGCAAGTTGTGTCAACTGTGGAAGCCTCGCCTTCTTCTTAAAACTTTCCTGTATAGCTGTACCAATGCATCCCGTCATGTATCCAATCACCTCGACTTACCTGCACCCCAAACCCTAAAGCACCCTCAACCCCGTCACACGGCTCCGCCTGACTGCAATGCCACGTTAGATCCAAACAGAAGATACAGCAGGAACTGTTGTATGCAACTTGCCTCTCGAATTCAGGGCGTGCTGCCGATCGTGTGCCTCCTTTCGGGGGCACGAGTGTCGTAAGCCCCAAAATGCACGTCAGCGGCTCGGTCTATGGAGCCTATGCTCAGACCGCTCTCTTGCAGCAATCCAAGAAACGTACAACCTGCATGCTTCGTGTAACTCCTCCGAATATCAGTGGTTGAAGAGCGGAAGATTCTCTCGCGAGTTGACTGATGCATGCCTTGGGGTTTCGAAATGGTGGAGTTCTGGTCCAGGGTCATGCAGGTTCCGGATTTTGCCCTTTGCAGGCCCCTAAACCCTAAGCCTTAAACCCTAAAAGCCTAAACCCTAAAACCCTAAAACCCTAAACCCCAGACTTAGGGTTCTCCATCCTTGCAACCCAGCAGCTGCTATCTTGCGGGCGCCTGCAACCTGCAACCTGCAGGGACTGAGCATGTGCAGGGACGAAGCCCGAAACGGCCCTTGCAATGCCGGAAGTAGGCTCGCAGGGAGCAAGGCAGGCGAGCCGGGAAGAAAAGGTCCTTGCAAGCAGATTTTGAGTGGGGGCTTGTGACCATGGGGGCCATGGGCTTTCAGGCTTAGTATTTTGGGCTTCAACCCTGAAACCCAAACTCTAGATATGTGTGTGTATATATATATATATATATATCTCTCTCTCTCTCTTTTGTGTAGTTTGGCGTCGGTGGCTCCGAACTTGTAAACATCGAAGCCCCGGTCACCGGGCCCTATAAGTCCTAAACGCTATAAACCATAAACCCCAGCCCAAAGCGGTTTAAGTTCAGAGCGATGCCTCGGCAAGCGTTTTCGTGTTAGGTTTTGGGGTATACGGTGAATGGGTTGTTTAGGGCTGTAGGCTGCTAAAAAGGCATCCCATTAGGTCGTCCCCATGCCCCGACGACTTGACTTTTGGCCTGAGAGTTTCAGCTGTAGAGGTTTCCGGCTAGGGCTACTGGGATGGGCTTGAGTGCGCCCGGGTTCTGGGCAGCGCGAGCGTCCCATGCTTTTTGGCACAAGCTCGAAGTTCTCGCCAGCTGGTCTGGTTCTCCACCTCGCTCTCCTTGATCTGCCATGGATGCGCCTCAATGCAGGTTCCACAGAAAGTTTCGGAAGGCACCCTGAGACCGCAGGTGTGGGGGGAAGCTGTCCCTCAATTCGCAGACCTTCCCTGTGCTCGTAATACCAGCAGGATTTTTGCCGTTGCAGGTACGTATGGGTAGGTATGGATGAAGCCCTAAACCCTAAAGAAGTCTCGCAATCGCAAACTTCCGCCAGTTCCTGCATGAGAAGCCCATCGCGGCGGACTTCAAGTGCCCTCTCGGAGGGCTTCCTATGACCGACCCAGTTGTGGCAGAGGCATCTTCTTTGAAAGTTGTTAGGATTATCTGCAAGGATTATGGGAGCTGGTATGTTCGTTGATTTTGGGCTTTCTTGCCGAGTTTAGTTGGAGTTTGGGGAAACAAGGGGGCGTGCGGTCTGGTCCTGGCATTTGCAGTGGCCAACCTTTCTGTGGCTCCAGGTTTCGATCGCAACACCGGGAACTGAGGGCCTAGGGCAAGAAGAGCCTCCCGAGCTTGCAGCGTAGAGCGTAGGCAAGTTCAGTCTGTATAGCAGCTCTAACACGTAGAATGCTAAAGGTCCATGCACTTTGTTGGCCTTCAAGGGGTTCCTAAAGGAGCACTGCGGGGTCTACCTATTTTCTACATAGACACTTGAACCCTTATGGAAGTTGCACAGATGTGCGTTTAAAGCTGACTCTGACTGCTTTTGCAGCCTCGTTTGGGATTCATCCCTGCCTTGGTGCGGGTGTCCGACAGTGTAGCGATGTGGAAGGACGGATACAGTTACGAGCGCTCGGCCATCACCGCATGGCTGCAGGAGCCACAGAGTGGATGTAAACCCTAAGCCCTAAGATGCCCCAGTGTAGCATCGAAAGGTACTCGTGTAGGGCTTCATAAGGGCCTGACGAGCAGTGACAGTCTGCACTTTCAGGCAGATCCCGAGCCCCAGAACCTGAAGCCTGATAAAGGGCCTGGAAAAGCAAGGTTTCGCTGTACCTTGCTGTTTAGGGTTTAGGGTTTAGGATTGTAGCATAGCAAACTAGAGTAACTAAAGACTTGAAGTTGATACTAGCACTAGTCAGTAATTGTTGAGACCCCCCCCCTTTCTACGGGGGTCTAGACACTGCACAAAATCTTGGGCGTGCTTATCGGAGGCCTCACTTTCGGGCAAGACGGCTCCTTTTTCCCTTGAGGGCCTCGAGCCAGAAGAACTTTAGAATGCTTAAACTGAAGCATTCTGCAATTGAAAGTCTAGTTGCAGTATAAAGCCCCAAACCCCAAACCCTTGTGAAAACTCAACCGTGGTGTTTCGGGAGTACAGGATGTCAATTTTTCGCGTTTGGGCTATCAACACTATTGTCGCCTTTCAGATTTCAGAAGGTAGAAGGGTTCAGGGCTCAGGATACTTTCAACAACCGGCCAGCACACAGGGATGGCTGCCGTGAAGTTTGATGGAGCACCTATGAAGTGGCAGCACCATCCTGACACGAGAAACTTTAGAAGCCTCTTTGCACCATTTAAAGCGGATAGGCATTGAAACGACCATAGTGGTTTGGACTACAGGCAGCAACTCATTACAGAGTGATTTAAATACCCAATATCTGAGCCTCCCTTCCCGCGTTACCGAATGGTTGTGTTTCAAGAAGCTTACGGCACGAGGTGCCGTGCATGCACTTCTGAACTCGAAGATCCCAAGCCAGTTCATAACGACTTCAGGCACCAAAACCCCCAGACTTCCAACTCCAAACCCAAAGCCCTCCCGATTCTCGCGCCAAGCGCAGGACCAGGCGATTTCACCTCGGACTCGGATGCCCATGTCTTCCAGGCCAGGCCTCATCGCTCACTGCTTTAAGGTTTTGAGTGCGTTTGGTATAGCTGGGTAGACACTCCCACTTACTTACTTAAATAAAGGCTTACTGGGTTGCAGGGTTGCATATTATATGGTGAGTCATCTGCTATTTTAGTAACCAGAGCCCCAGGGACCAATATAGTTCATACCTCCGTCACAGCTGGCTGCGAGCCTCCAATTTAATTAGAGCAGGGGCTTTTCTGATCCGAGTTTCCCGACACCTTGAATCAAGCCTGACAGCATACTATATATCTAATATACCATAACTGCCAGCCCGAAGCCCTAAAGGCCTAAAGTAAAAGTCTTGGCCGCGGAATCCTTCACGATACCAGGCAGCTCGATTCCCGTTAGAGAGTTGTCCTGAATGAAGAGGTGGGACCCCACAACTTTTAATTTAGAGCCGGATCCTTGAGGTGCAGTAAGGGCTCTTGGAGAAAACAGAGAGGACCGACCTTGCGCCCAGGTTGGAAGACAACGGTGATCTCAAAAAGGCACGAGGAGGGAGTGCTTTCTGTTTCGGTGCAGAGATGTACATCGAGACCGAAGGAGGTTTCATGCAGGGTCTGGTGTACTTAGTTGTAGTTTTCAGAGTTGTACTGTTCGAAAGAAGGGTTTCTGTGTAGCGCAGGGTGTTCAGTCGGAAGCAGAGCAGGTGCATCAATATAAGCTTTTTCACCTCGCATACGTGTTATATAGCGTTCTTGAACTTCTGAACCAGAAGTCCGAAATCCCTAGCACACTAACCTCTCAACCTCAGCCTATTACCATCAGCCTTATACCTACCTCAACCATAAACTCCGTGTCTACCATATACCCAAAACCCCATGTCGACCCCTAAGACCTACATCCTAGTGGTCCTAATCCCCATGTCAACTCGAAATCAGAACCCTAAACCCTAAACTTAAACCTACACCCTCACCCCCGACCCTAAACCGAGGCATCCTGACGGCTGGGAGCTTTTAGCATCCAGCCCTTTAGAAGATGGGTGCGTCAAGGATCCAACCGCAAGGTCGGTAGGTCAGGCACCCTACTTTGAGGATCATAGGGTTCAGGGTTTTGGGTTCAAGTTTAGGGTTTAGAGTCGGGGTTATCCATATACGGCAGCTATGGTTGCAACTACTGACAACTCCAACGAAGGTACTTACAACCAGCTTGTCCTTGCTTGGTCCCTTTCTCATTGTTTGGCACCAGCGGTGGGCGGGCCCTAGCAACAGTTGCCCTCAAGGTTCCTTGGTGGATTATAGTATAACATCCTTCCAAACCCAATTCTAGTCATGGAGGGTAGAACCTGTATAGTAAGATAACCCTTGTAAGGGAACCCTATTCCAATTCTCCGGGCCCCAATATTAGGCGTTGCGACCTTGCCGTTCAGGATCTAGAGAGGTCAAGTTTCATGGTTTACGAGGTAGGTCTGGGTGTAAGACCCACGATGCTTTTGAGGGGTTTTCGAGAGTCGGTACTTGGAGGATCATGGGACTTAGTAACTAGGGTTATAAATACGGTAACTAGACTTATAATCACTTATAACCCCAATTAGGGTACTTATAACGTTACTTACTAAGTCCCATGATCCTCCAAGTATGCTGGAAGTAGGGTACGGGGCTATTTGGGATCTCGGGTTTAGCCACGATTGGAGTGATTCCGAAAGGCGATTGGCGAGCTGAAGATGCTCTTGGAGAATCCACCTGCCAAGGAGACAGGGTGGTAGTTTGGAAATTTCAAGCCCCAACTGCCCTAAGTTTTGTATTTCTGGATACGGAGCTGAGTGTCATTCTGAAGGCTAAACTTCCATTATCTTGAACTTTGAGTTGGCGAGGATCTTTTGCATTTCAGTATCGTTCAGAGTGAATTCCATGATGGCCGGGAGTTACGGGCAGGTGGCTCGACAGCAGGCCGCTGATGCCTTCTTTGGAGGGCACTTTGGCGGTCACGACCACGCATGCATCAGTGGTAATTACTTCGATTGGTAAGTAACGGCAACCCAGGCGCAGGCGCGAAGAATGACAGCCGGTATGCATCATGAGCCGCAGTGTCGCATAGGTGGCCGGCCTTTTGCAGGTCACGACACCCGGGCACGCATCATGATCATCCGTGGCCAACCGCCTTGAAGGTCGCGGCACTTACACACGCCTAGCCTAGCCACGCAGCATGAGCATCAATGGCGAACTACTTTGGGCACACCTCACAAGCATCAGCGGCAACCCAGCCACGCATCATGAGCATCAGCGGTCCAAGCACTTCGCCGGCCACGACACCCACACGCGCATCATGAGCATCAGTGGCTAAAACCCTTCAAGGTTACGACATTTGTCCAGTCATCATGAGCATCAGCATGGCACTTCCATTTGCAGTTCACGACCCGCATAAACGCTCCGGGCACGCATCATGAGCATGAATGGCAAACATGCTGCTGTTTCGCTTGACTTCGCGGCCACAAATGCTCATGATGCTCGCCTATGCGGTTTTTCTCGAATGTTTCAGAGCAGTTACCAATTGATGCCCGGCGTCGTAAGCTGTAAAGATGCGGGCCACTGATGATCATGACACGCTCCACGACGTTGTGACTTTCAATGTTTCCGAGCAATTTCCCACTGACACCTGGGTGTCGTAACCTGCAAAGCGGTCGGCCACTGATGCTCATGATGCGCTCTCCATCGCTCTCCGACGGGTTTCAACGTTGCAGCGCAATATCCCATTGATTCCGGGTGTCGTAACCTGCAAAGCGGTCGGCCACTGATGCTCATGATGCGCTCTGCGTTGCCTTTGCAGACCAGCGGTCGGCCACTGATGCTTCTGATGCGCTCTCCATTGCTCTTCAACACAGTGGTTTTCGATGTTGCACAGGACTTTCCAACTGACACCTGGGTGTCGTAACCTGCAAAGCAGTCGGCCACTGATGCTCATGATGCACTCTCCATCGCTTTCCGACGTGGTGATTTTCAACGTTGCAGAGCAATATCCCATTGATTCCGGGTGTCGTAACCTGCAAAGCGGTCGGCCACTGATGCTCATGATGCGCTTTGCGTTGCCTTTCTTCAACGTTGCAGACCAAGTTCCCATTGACTGCCGGGTGTCATAACCGGCAAAGCGGTCGGCCACTGATGCTTCTGAGGCGCTCTCCATTGCTCTTCAACACCGTGCTTTTCAATGTTGCACAGGACTTCCCACTGACACGTCGGTGTCGTAACCTGCAAAGTGGTCGGCCACTGATGCTCATGATGCGGGCTCTATTGCCTTTCGACACCGGTCGGCCACTGATGCTCATGATGCGCTCTCCATTGCATTCCGACGTCGTGATTTTCAATGTTGCAGAGCAATATCCCATTGATGTCCGGGCGTCGTAACCTGCAGAGCGATCGGCCACTGATGCTCATGATGCGCTCTCCATTGCTCTCCGACATGATGCGCGACGGTCGCAACCTGCAAAGCGGTCGGCCACTCATGCCCATGATGCGCTCTCCATTGCCTTTTGACATTGTGATATTCAATAAACGTTGCAGAGCAATTTCCCATTGATGCCCCGGTGTCGTAACCCGCAAAGCGGTCGGCCACTGATGCTCATGATGCGTTTTCCATTGCCTCGCGACACTGTGATTTTCAATGTTTCCGATCAATTTCCCATTGGCACCTGGGCGTCGTAACCTGCAAAGCGGCCCGCTGCTGATGCTCATGATGCGCTCTCCATTGCATTCCGACGTCGTGATCTTCAACATTGCAGAGTTATTTCCCGTTGATTCCCAGGTGTCGTACCCCACAAAGCGCTCCGCCGCTGATGCTGATGATGCGCTCTCCATTGCATTCCGACGTCGTGATTTTCAACATTGCAGAGCTATTTCCCATTGATTCCCAGGTGTCGTAACCAGCAAAGCGGTCGGCCACTGATGCTCATGATGCGTTTTCCATTGCCTCGCGACACTGTGATTTTCAATGTTTCCGCCACCTGGGCGTCGTAACCTGCAAAGCGGCCCGCCGCTGATGCTCATGATGCGCTCTCTATTGCATTCCGACGTCGTGATTTTCAACATTGCAAAGCTATTTCCCGTTGATTCCCAGATATTGTAACCTGCAAAGTGGTCCGCCGCTGATGCTCATGATGCGCTCTCCATTGCATTCCGACGTCGTGATTTTCAACATTGCAGAGCTATTTCCCGTTGATTCCCAGGCGTCGTAACCTGCAAAGCGGTCCGCCGCTGATGCTCATGATGCGCTCATTCCGACGTCGTGATTTTCAACATATTGCAGAGCTATTTGCCGTTGATTCCCAGGTGTCGTACCCCACAAAGCGGTCCGCCGCTGATGCTCATGATGCGCTCTCCATTGCATTCCGACGTCGTGATTTTCAACATTGCAGAGCTATTTGCCGTTGATTCCCAGGTTTTGTAACCTGCAAAGCGGTCCGCCGCTGATGCTCATGATGCGCTCTCCGTTGCATTCCGACGTCGTGATTTTCAACATTGCAGAGCTATTTCCCATTGATTCCTACGTGTCGTAACCTGCAAAGCGGTCCGCCGCTTATGCTCATGACGCGCTCTCCATGAAGGGGCTTGTGTCTCGGCGTTCACGATGCTGGCGGATCCGGGCCCCAGGGTTCAGTGAAACTTGCCGATGAAGTTCTGGCAAACGAACCCACGAGACCGAAAAGCCTGAACCCTGACCCTTACAAGCCCAAGGAGATGCCCCAGATTCCCTATGCCCCATGCCCCCAAACCCAAGTTCTTCACAGTTGAAACGCAGAAGCCGCAGCCCTGAAGCTCCGAAGGAGGTAACGATCACATGGAATGCCCCCGGACCAGAGAGAATCCCACGGTCCTTGGTCGCTGGACTGCCCTGCCTTGCAGTTTCATGGGAAACCCTAAACCCTAAACCCTAAACCCTAAACCCTAGCCGTAACCCCTTCAGACTCCGCACCCCAACAGCCCCTGAACCCCGGAAAGACCTAAGCAAAATAGGCTTATAAAATCTCCAAAAACCCCTAAAACCTCAAACACGAAACCCCATTCCGCCATGAGCCGCTAAGCCCTAAGGCCAGACAACGGGGGTTTAGAGATCTCACCTCCACTCAAGTCCGTTAACTTCTGCACTCCCCATGATTTCAGCCTGTTTTTGTTCATGTCTCTTAGGCAGTTGTATTGGAAGGATCATCTTTAGCTAGTTGTGAACCCTAGAAGCAAGAAGCCCAAATCCTGCAATCCCCAAAACCCCCTATATAGATCCTCAACCTCCCTAGACCCATGTACTGCCGACAACGCAACCTTACATCTTCTTCGTCAGGGCCGTTTTGTGGCTTCCAAGTATTGAATCCCAAAGCCTGCCCCGGTTACTTCATTTTTCAACGGCCAAGAAGCCCACACGAAACCAAACAATTCCTGACATGGGAACCCCACAACCCCCAAGCCCTAGACCCCTTAATCCCCACAGCTTGAGTGCTAATTAAACCCCGGAAAGCAAAACTTGACCCTGGATGAACAACGCCATACAAGAAGAATCAACACATTATGCAAACCCGGCTGTACAAGTAACAGAAAGAAAACGGCGGAGAGCACACACACCAAAGCAACCACTGCGATATGGGAGCTTCCGAAAATAATGTGTACCTTATTTTGGAGTCCTTATAATAAGGACCCTACTATTTGGGGTACTATATTAGGGTCCCCTATTTTCGGAAACCCCCATCTCTTGTGCCCCGGCAGTCTCCAAAGGTCATTTCTCCCAGCGATGCCTCGGACTCCTCGGATTGGGAGGCCTCAGCGGAAAGACGGCCGAACTCGTCAGAAGACTTGGGAGTCGTTCTATGCCAAAAAATTAAGGTGTGATAAGGATGTAGGGGGTTCGTCAGCTCAGTCATCAACATCATGATTACCATCTTCTTCATCATGGGGTTTTCTCAGGCTTGATTTGTGTGTCGGTCCGGACTATCATCATGGCGCCTGGATCTCGCACCCAAACCCAAAATCGGATCATGAAATCCTAAACCGACCCTGACTCCTAAAATTCTCAGCCTAATCAGCCCTAAACCCAAGATCCGAAATAGGACCCCCAGTGTCTGAAAGCCCAGAGCAAAAGCCTACACAGTTTAGGTGTTTAGGGTTTGGGCTTCAAAGCCACACCCAAAGCTGCATTTGGAGGTCTTGTCCGAGCGCCAGACTGACGACGCGAAGCTCCGGGCAGAGCAGACGGAGCCCTGGCTGCAAAGGGTTTAGGGTTTAGGGTCCCTAAACCCTAAACCCTAAACCCTAAACCCTAAACTTTAGGGGTTTAGGGTTTAGGGCTGACCGTGGGAGTTTCGGGGTTGCTCAGACTTCACAAGAGTTCGCGAAAAGCCGTAGGGGAGTCTGCGCAAGGACATGTCCTACATCCTGAGCAAAATCTTCCGCGCCTCTCGGCCACTACGTGGAGCCCAGGTTTTGGATCCCTGAAAGCCCAAAACTCAAAACCCCTACCTCGCCGAACTCTAATTTTCTAGGCCTTTCACCTGGGCCGCCTGCACCCTGTTCTCAGACGACAATCAGCAAACGGCCCTAAGCCAGAAAACCTCACAAAAGTTCCTTGAGGCCCACTAGGGTCCAGAGGTTCTCAACCCTGAGGCTTCCTAAACATCCCTCCCGTCCCATTCCTGCCTTTTGTGATTCGGGGGTGGTGGTGTGGAGGTTCGACGGTAGGGTTTGGTGTGCACCATACAGACCATGCAACTCGTAAAATACTGGGTGCGTTGACTTTGCCTCACTCCTCTGCGCGAAACGTGTGCTGGGGCTTAGGGGCGGGAACCCTAAAGTCCTAAACCCTAAACCCTAAACCCTGGAAGTGTTCTCAACACACGGCAGATTGTTTGAGCTTCGAGAGGCTTCCTTGGAAGGCGGCAGTTGTTGCTAGGAGACTGGGTCCGCCTTTACATTTAGGGTTTAGGGTTTAGGGAGCCGTAGACCATCTGCATACGAAAGTCCCGAGCCTTATAGGCCTTAGTCATGACATCAAGCCTAAAGCTGCGCATCTTGAATCCTGAAGGACTTGGGTTCAAAGGCTGAGAAGATGGCAAATCCGAGATTCCCAGATGCGAGTACTTTGTGCTTGAACCCGGGCAGTCAGATCGAGAGGTCTTGGATCCACTTCGCCAGCTTCTCCTAGACGTCTTGGACGGTTGGACGCCGCAAAGCATGCCGCTCGCCTTAGACAGGTTCCTTCTCTGAACCCCCTTTGCGATGGTACACCCTCAAAAACAGAGCTCAGGTTCGGGTCCTATAAAAGCTAGCTAACAATCTGCGGCTACGAAGCATCTTGTAACAATGGATCCATCAAAGCGCTAAAGAGCCTGGCTCGATGAGTAGTAGATACGGTCTAACTGGAAGGGTTCTGCACCTTTGCTGCTACATCTCCTGCTAGTGCGACCACCACGACACCCGAAAATTCGGGGTTTAGACCGCAGACTTGTTCAGTCTCGCGGTCGACCCTTCTTGCAATCATCCCCAGAGCCCAAGAAAGCCTAAGCCGAAGACATCGGCCTGGAAGATCCGAATGTCGCAAGCCTGGCATCCTCAAAAATAGGGTTTAGGGCCGTTTAGGGTTGAGGCTGTAGGACCTTCAGCTTGGAGAATCCAGAATCTGGAGTCTGCAAAGCGTAGCCGTAGACTTCCTAAACCCAACCTCCAAATCCTCCCCCCCAAACCCCAAACCCTAAACTCTCAAGTGGGCAGGGTCGTGATTGGCGACGAGAGCGCGGGCAAGAGCACTGTGCTGGAGATGCTGGCCATGCTTTCCATCTTCCCAAGGAAGTCCCCTGGTCCTTCGGGTTTAGGGTTTAGGGTTTAGGGTTTAGGGTTCAAGGCTTTCTTCAAGGGCTCTTTAAGACTTACAGGCCCTAGAAGAGTAACGGTAAGGTCAATTTCTGCTTTCCATCTTCTTCAGGAAGCCACATGAACCACGCATTTTGGGGTGCAGGGTTTCAGGGTTTAAGGCTTCGGAAGTTTAAGGTTACTGTAGGCCCCCTCGATTAAATCGGTTCTGTTGGCTCGAGCGCATTGGGCCGTGCCTCTGGAAATTTTATTTGAATCTTCAGATTTCAGATTAAGACTTTGGGCTTGGCGTTTTGGGGTTTACTCTTCGGGGACTGTGTCCTGTATTGGCCTTGGGGGAAGCCTGTTCCTAGCTTTTTGTTGTTCATAGCTTTTTTGTTCGGGTTCATGGTTGAATCAGGGGTTGACGGTTTAGGATCTGGCTTGCTTGCAGAGTCAGATGCCGCTTTTCTGTTTAAGCAGGCCTTTGCCTGAAGCCTTCCTTGGAACTGTCAGGCGTCTTGCAGTGTGCCGCACATATGATTTTTTCCGGAAGTCGCGTCATGTAGCGCACTCAATCGCCCCCAAGCCTCAAGACCCACATAGGCCCTCAAACCGTATTCCAAACATATCCAAACTCAAAAGCACCCTACACCCTCAAGCCCCAACATGGAAGCCCTGAACCTGAAAACACGCATCCCAAATCATAAACCAAGACGTCTTTGGGCCCAGGCGACGCTTCTGCACGCGCTTGGCCACGCATCTCCGCCTGCGCCGGAATCCGGACCTCTGCCGAACCACGTTGTCGGTGTGCACCGTGGCCTGGCTCGGCACCAACGAGGTAGTTTAGGGTTTAGGGTTTAGGGTTTAGGGGTTTAGGGTTTAGGGTTTAGGGGTTTAGGGTTTAGGGTTCCTTGAAGGTTCCCTTCCAGGGCTCGTAGAAGTCATGGGGAACCACAAAGGGTTCTGAGTCATCTTGCTTCAGGCAGCACAAGCGTTTTTGTTTTCTCGCCTCGCGACGCTTTCAAGAGATTCGAAAAAAGGGGTCGGGATTGCCAATGCCACAGCATTCGCGGTTGAGGGGGGTTTCTGCTTGAGGCTTCTGGCGCTTCTGGAAGCTCTTTTGAGTGAGATGGCCGCGCGGCTTTACGATCCTGAGTTAGAACTTGGAACAGATGATCACCCTCGAAGCATGAAGGTATCTTGGAGGAATGGTAAGGTAGGAGCAACCGGAAATATGACTCTTTGCCAAGTTGTGTCCGGCTACCTTTCGGGGTTCCGTGTTGTTGACAAGTCCTGCAAAGGCAAACGGAGCTTCCATGCGTGAGCTGGGGTCGAATCCTAATTTAGGGTTTAGGGGTTTAGGGTTAAGGGTTTAGGGTTTAGGGTTAAGGGTTTAGGGTTGAGGGTCTAGGGTTTAGGGTCCTGAAGCCCAGACAGAGAGCGAGCACTGTCTCCCGCAGGTGACATCGCAGGGCGAAAGGCGGGAAGGGAAGGCAATGGTAGTGCCCAAGGAGAAGCCGGCAAAGAGTCTCGAGTTGCAGGTTTAACGCCTCGCAGCAGGCCTTTCTCGAGTAGGGCTTGGGAGCTTGTGCTGTTTGGGGAATTCGTCTAGACTTCCTGCAAAACCCCTTGCTAGTAGATTCTATTTGGGATTGTTCGTAGATTTCCAACTCAGCAAGGAATACCTGAATCCTCCGACACAGTTCCTCCGGCGGCATAAACTTCTGCAGTTTTCTCTGCACGAAGCCTTATTATGCCGACATCTTTTGCTTTCCTTCCAGGAGAACGGCGATAGGTGGGTGCAGGAACAGATGGATCGCCTCGTTTTAGAGCTGTCGGACGGTCAAGAAGGCGGCCTTCCGTCGATTTGCGCCCGGGGCTTCGGTTTAGGGTGTAATGTAGGGGCCGAAATAATTACCACCACTATTTTGGGGGTTCCTTATTAATATTATAGTAGAATGGGCCCCAAAACCCTATTCTAATTATTAGGGCACCTATATTAGATAAAGTGTAGGTTCGATGCACATGAACGGAGATTGGGATTCATCGAGAAGGCTCGACTTTGAAGGCACTCTCTCAGAAGCGATCGAACTCCGAAACCCTCTTCAAGTGTACCCTCCAAAATAAAGGGTTTTCAACCCCTGTCTATCCCAAAAACCTTTCACTCAAGACGCGGCACTACCACGAAAACAGTTTGTCCCAGATTCTAGATCCTGCATTCCAGCCCGGAGCAATCTTCGGTAAACCCTCCCAACGTCTGTGACGGACTTTTTTGCTCGCTGATCCAAGACACTTCTGAACAGTCCTTGCGACGCCCGCCGACCATTTAATTCTAGGATTAGAGAGCGCGCAACTGTATGATCCCAATATGTCCCGATACTGCATTCTGACTCAAGAGGGCTGTGCCTGCATCTCGGGATGATCCGCGTGTGGAACCTTGCTGGGCAAGAGCTGGCCGCCTTTAGTGCGGAGGATTTCAAAGATGCAGGTGCCGTGAAGGAACATTTATGTGAACTGCGTGGCTTTCCAGTACCTTGCCCAATGACAATGTGAGAGATGTGTCTTGCTTTTCGAGGTTTACGTTCCCTGGATAAATAGACTTTCCCCTTCCTTCCTAAACGAGACCCAGGTATATCTGCAGCAACTTTCACAGAAGGACAGGCTTTTGCCTAATTGTGCCTAGTTGGATGCCTCCGTGGACCTTTTCTTGGCAGTGCAACCTATCTGCAGCATCTCTCAGCAGCCCTACACCCAAAGGCTCCATGTACCTTTATAGTAGTTACTTAGGCCTTAAAGGGGTCCCTATATAGGTCCTTTAAGGCCTAAGTATCTACTATATGGGCACATGGAGCCTTAGGGACAGGCATCACCTGATCGACACCGCCGCTTTAGCTAAGCGAGACCTGGCCAGCGCTTCAGAACGCGATCATGTCGAAATGGTCCGTTTCTTGCTGTTAGCTGATGTTGACACAAATGGGCGTTTCCGAAAATTAGGGGTACCATATTTAGGGGTCCTTATAATAGGGATCCTATTATTTAGGGTACTATATTAGGGTCCCTTATTTTCGGAAACCCCCAAATGCGCGGGATGCCAGCGGCTACACCGCCTTGATGATTGCATCTGAAAGAGGCTACCTCCAGATAGTACAGTTGCTGCTGCAAGCTACAACGGATATAGAATGCCGGGAAAACAACGACAGCATGACAGCTTTAATGCTAGCATCTGAGAACGGACACTCGGAGGTTGCACGTTTGCTGCTGGAGGCTGGTGCGGCAAAAGATAAGTGGAATCGCAGCAAAATGACAGCCCTCATGCTCGCGTGTGACAGTGTGCACTTAGAGGTTGCATCAGTGCTGGTGGAAGCAGGTGCAAACAAGGACTGCAGGAACCACGACGGCATGACAGCCCTGATGCTCGCATCTGAAAGTGGTCGAATCGGGGTTGTGGCATTGCTGCTGGGAGCTAGTGCTGATACAGGTCGGCGAGACAAGAACGACGGCATGACAGCCTTAATGCTCGCACTTGTCAGTGATCACTTGGATGTTGCACGCTTGCTGCTGGAAAAAGGGGCAAACAAAGATTGTTGGGATAAAGATGGCATGACGGCCCTGATATGGGCATCTGAGAATGGCCACATAGAAGTTACGCGTATGCTGCTGCAAGCTGCTGCTGATGCCAGCTCCCCGAGCCGAGATGGCAGCAGGGCCTTGTCACAGGCATCTCGGCAGGGGTACTTGGAGGTTGCGCGGTTGCTACTGGAAGCCGGTGCCGATCTTGATTACCCGGGTGCAAAGGAGCAGACAGCCTTAATGCTCGCATCGCAGCGCGGGAAGCTGGAGGTTGCACGTGTGCTACTGGGAGCTCGAGCTGACAAAGATCTCTTGGACCATGCTGGCATGACAGCCCTGATGCTCGCATGTGAAAGCTGCCATCTAGAGGTTGCACGGTTACTCCTCGAAGCCGGCGCTGATGTTGACAACAGGGGCAAAGCAGGCACTACAGCCCTGATGCGCGCATCTCGGTACGGACACGACGAGGTCGCCCATTTGTTGCTGGAAGCCCGGGCCGGTACTGGTTTCTGGAACAAAGATGGCAACTCAGCGCTTATGCTCGCATCTCAGGAAGGTCACTTCGGTGTTGCACGTTTACTGTTGGAAGCTGGTGCAGACACTGATCGCCCGGGCGTTGCCTAGGCCACGTCGGGGTTATACATTTGCTGCAGTGGTTTGGTGCTTACAAATTTAAAGACGATCGCGGCGATGGTGGCAAGACAGCCTTTATGCTAACACGTGAGAAAGGCCACCCAGCCGTTAGTAAACTGCTTTCCAAGACATCGTGAGCGACATGACAGGCTTGTTGGTTGTGCCTGAGCATCCCATGTAAACTACAGAGGTTACGGTTGATGCTTGGAGGTGCCAATGCATCAACAAGCCATTCATCAAGCTGGTGCCTGCCAACCCTGCTTGAGCTGCTTAACGTAAAGACATTTTCGGCCAGACACTGAAGCTACCATGACAAATCTTTCCTTCATTTCTGGGCCAGATTTTGGGCTGTAGCAACAGCAGAAGCAGTTGCCAAAGCACGAGTACATGCCGTCGAAGAAATGCGAGAAATCCGACTCTGGCATCACTCTGGGTTGCAACCGGTGCTAGTGGCGAAACTTCTCACCTCGCATATGAGACCTACAAAATTAAGGCGTTTTGTTTCTCACTGATCCCTTTTTGTACAAGAGTGGAAACTCCCCGAACTCTTATATATTTAGTTGTCGACGACTTTGCATTGCAAGCATTCACTGTAGTTTAGAGCATTCAGAACAATTCAGACTTTCGGGCACGCAGGGCGCAGGTAGTCAAAGTACGTAGCCGCAAGCTGCATGCTCCTCGACTGCAAACCGGCTTGACTCTTGATGAAGAGAGGGTCCTTGCATTTATCGTTTGAACAGAGTTTTTTGTGTTTTATGATAGGTCTGCAGTGGGACTAGACGGGAACATTATAATACCAAGCAGACCTTCTAAGCTCCCCGATAAGTTAGGGTCTTCTCTTAGGTCCCAAAATAAGCTCGGCACGATGTGTAAACAAGGGCCCAAAAAGGGACCCACTGTAGATATCTACCCACATCCTTCGAGTCTCAAGGGCCCCCAACTTTTTGCCTCAATTTTTTGCCGTTCAGGTGGGAACTTCGGGCTCAAAACCCAAAGACCTGAACCCGAAAGCCTAGCCTCCTCGTCTTTATGTTTCGGGTGTATGCATTGAGTGTTGCACTTCAAAGACGAGGATCCTAAAACCTCACATCTTGATCCCCGCAGCCTTAAAATCCTAAACCCTAGACCCTGAAACCCGACCTTCTAGTCGCAGGCTCCGGTGGCATCGTTACAGAGAAGATCATCGTGGTGGAAGCCGTGGCCCTACTAGAGCGTTTTCGGTGCTTCTCTTCAGGAGGTTTCAAAAAGGGTTCTATATGGATTTTGGGTTTCATGGTTGTGGATTTAAGGACGGTCTTGGGGCTTTTGGGGTGTAGGCTTCAGGGTTTGGGGTGTTGTTAGGATTTAAACTCGATGCCACCTTTTCAGGATTTCATTGCTTGGTCTTGAGGCGGGGTTTATTCTTTGGAACGTTGGGAATTCACGGCATTGGGACGTAGGCTCCAGTTTGGGGGTCTCGCGCTGTGCGATTATTCGGTGTCGTGTTTAGTAAATGGCTTGAGGCTAAAGGTGTGAAGGCTCGCACAGCACTGCAGTGCCGGCCGTGTGCACCTCAAGTCAGTGGTCAAAGTCTGAGCCCGAAATTCGTGAACAGACCATGGCAGCAAATCTTTTTGTATCAGGCCACCTTGCAATCTCTCAAAATCTTGGGCCCAATCCGAAAGCTTCATACCCTATTAGCCTCTTGGGGGGCCCATCAAATCGGAAGCAGCCCTTTCTGAGGCATGCGATTTCAAAGGGTTTGCTTGTAACATCGGGTAGTATGGCCTGGCAGGCGATCAAACGAGGAATAGCTTGTTGGGCACAACCCTGCTAGAAACTTCATGGAACCCCTGAAGAACTATAGAACCCCTGAAGAGTTCCTATAGAACCCCCAGGTTAAACCCAACACCCTAATCCATCAAACCCTAAACCCTAAACCCGCGACCCTGAACCATCAAACCCTAAATCGCCCAGTTCTGCCAGGTTCAACATCCCGAGGTTCCGAGCATCGACTTAGTAGACCTGCCGGGGATCACCTCCGTACCCAAGGAGAAAGCCGAGGCTGCGGATTGAGGGTTTTGAGGTTGTAAAGGGGTTCATGCGGTTTAAGGCTTAGGGCTTAGGATTTAGGGTTCAGAGGCAGGGTTCCTACGGGGGTTTGTAGGTTTGGGATCTGGGGTTTCAGGGTTTAGGTAGCACCGATAAAGCTTGGTCTGTAGTCCTGAAAGCTCAGGGAAATTCAGGGAACGAAGTCAGCAGGTTTTTCAGATGCTCATACATAGGAGAACCCCCAAACAGACACTGTGAGACACTTCCTAAGCCCAGAGTGGTCTGTGGAGAACTCAGAGAGCTGATGCCCGAATGTTTAGTGTTGGTTCAGTTCAGTTTGTAAAGTAAGCTTAAGGGCCGCCCTAAGGTTTGAGGAACGGCCTCTGAAGCTTTGTGATGAGAAGCGTGGCTTGAACTCAAAAGGCCGTGCAGCAGATCATGCAGAAGCAGATTCGCGATGATAAGAAGAGTGGCAACAACCACATGCGCCTTTGGCAGCCGGAAGTCCTAGTCCGAAAGCTCGTGCACTTAAGCCCTAGGCCCTAGCTGCTGCTGCAATGCACAACTTGAGTGACAACAGTCGCGCGCATGTCCCGGTGTAGAAGCAGTGTCTGGGCGCAAAGGTGTGGTGTTCGACCTGTAACCAATTTCCATAGGCACAAAACCTGAATCTGAATGTCCTACACCCTCATCGCTCAAAGGCCCACCCTGCAAGTGGGAAGGATGCGAAAGCTTCCCCAGGCCTGCAGATTTCTCTGTGTACATAGCTGCGTGCACGCATACCTACATGTCTTGCTTGCTTTCGAAGATATGTGTAAATTCGCTATCTGCCTGGCTACATACAAAATCAGCATGATGCAGGCAGACAGATAGCCAGATTGACAAGTAGATACATACATGGTTAGATGGATGGATAGACAGACCGATAGATGGGTAGATAGGTAGGTAGGTAG